GTATGTATGTATGTATGTATATGAGAACAGCCCCCGCCCCGAGGCCACGTGAACCTGTCCAGTTGCAAGGGGCATGCGGGGCAAATCAGCGAAATGCATCAGTATGTAGAACATCCGTGGCCACGTTTGCTCATAGCACCCGGTAAGGTCGCCGCCTCGTTTTGTGAAGATCCTCGCAGACATCATGGCTCACATGGCAATGGCCATCGCCAGCATCGCAGTGATGGTGAATTTTGCGATTGCGGATCCGCAAACTTGTCTCAAAGTCGAGCTGCACGTCACGGAGTTAGATCGCACGAACACCTATGATGTAGCGATGGTGGAAGAGCGGGAGGTGATCGCACCATATAGGTGTGTGCGTTACAGAGGCCCGCCGGCCCCGGAGATCAAGTTCCAGTGGACAACGCCAGAGTACCTGCTCGGGTTGAAGATGTTCCCCCAAGGAGTGCCTCTTCTTGACGGGTTCCACCAGAACAATGTGACCTTCGGCCCCTTTCAGAGGAACCAGAGTTTTGATGTTTTCGTCACCGAGCAGCCGTACCGCCAACAGAGCAAGATGCAATTTCTTGTCTGAGTGGGTCATGCGAGCTTTGTCCGGAGTGTCAGGCAGTGTCCTGCAGTAACTGGACTTTTTTGTTTAAGGCGCGCAGTGGACGCAGGTATGAAAGCGGAAAACATATCAGTGTGGTTTTCAGTCGTGTCAGTTTACGGCCAGGGTGTTTCATTGCAGCTCAATACGGATGTCGTAGTCGTACTGAACGCAGGCCCAGTGAGCGCTTCCCGGTATGGAGTAAGTGTTGCATGCGTTCTGCGACGGGAGCCATCTCTGTATGCTGATGTGCGTTGTGTCATTCAGTCATCATCATCATCATCATCATCACCATCATCATTATCATCAGTATCGTCATCACAACGGCCGTCACCGCTGACATCATCACCATCACCATCTGCAACTGTCGTGATGATGAACTTTGTGATATTCAGAATCTTCATCTTCCACATCATGCGCATCCTCCTCCTCATCCTCGTATTCATTGGTTCTTACTTACCCGTTCATATTCTCTCATGCAGTCAAGCAATCAGTCAATCAACCAATCATTCATTCATC